TGATTACATGAAATGTCATCATTATTTACACAATATGTACTTTCTATATTGTTTATTGATAAATAACTTATCAAACCTCGTATTGAATGATACTACGATCTTTGTTCTAATGAGGAATGACATTTCATGAATAAAGGTTAACAATGAACTATAATTTATGAACAACTTTTGAGTGACGATAAACTGACCTTGAGAGTGTCCAACTAGTAACTAGGACAAAATAAAGGTGATAAATCAGTGTGAAGAATTAGAATTATGATTTACAGTTGATAGTTAGAGTTGAAGATTAGATTTAGGGTTTTTAATCATGAACTGATATTAGCTGAAATGCTAAAAGTTTATTTAACAAAATGGATGAGTGAATTTTACGCAAAATTCCAAGAACTGCTATCGTAGATCTGATTGATTCGTTCATAAATTATATTCTCGTCAGCTGAAGTGAAAATCTACACTATAGATTTTGGGTTATTGAAAAATTCCTGTATGTTTAAAGAAGTCCTATGGAATAACTTATTCATTAGAAAAAAAGTTCAAGCCTCCAAGTGCGCCGGTACTGCTAAGAGTAGGGAGAGTCAGATCTCTATCTCCAAATGCTCTCAGATGGCCACTTGCATACAACCACTGACAACAGGAAAGTCCTACTCACTGCCTCCTCGCGGTATTACTGTTGTTTACGAAATTGAAAGGAAGAAAAGCGAATGTCTGGCGCTTTAACCGGATTGGTAGATATAGAGGATCTACCTGGGGGTAGAAAAACCTGATTCCAAATCAATGGTGCATATGGGCTCCAGTATCCTGAAGGAACAAATGACGTATGAATTAATTGTTGGTCGCCGGCTGTCATGTGACTGCATCTCCCGAAGTTGCTCCACTGCCTTGTGGATCAGGCCTTTAGGTCAAATGCTCAGGCTGTGGTCCTCTAAGAAAACCACCTGCTTTAATTTGGGCACCCAAGAGATATCATAGCCCACACATAAATCAAGTGACTTGTATGGCGCATATGTATTCAGGGCCTCTTTGTACCAATATTTATGTGTTCTAATAAATAATAAATATATTAATATTTAATAATTGAATTCATGTGCCGTTGAAGCTAGACCACCATGGAAGACCTGGAAACACTGGACAACTGTTTCATCTTAGTATGGAACTCCTCATCATCGAACATCCCTTATCCCGACCCACCAGATTAGAACTCAGGACCAATCAGTCTCGTGCGCGAATGCTTAACCTTTAGGTCAGTGAACCGGCCGGTATATAACAGTGTTAATTTCTAATATGAAATCTGATGATAAAATATTGATTCGAAATAGATCTCATGTTAAAGTAATTGTTTAAAATGGTTAAAATTCAAAACATCATCCTCATCGTTGTTACTCATCCAATTGATTCGAACTCGTAAACTGAGTAATAAATTATTCACTTAATCAAGTTTAGCATCAATAAGTTTATTTATTTTAACACATAGATATTGGTACAAGGAGGCACCAAATACACATGCGCCACACAAATCTCATTTGATATGTGTGAGGGCTATGATACTGCCCGGGTGCCCAAACTGAAGTAGATGGTTTTATTAGGGGGCCACATCCGGAGCCTTCGACCTGAAGGTCTGATACACAAGGCAATGGAGCAACGTCAGGAGATACATTCACATGGTAGCCGGTGACCAACGATTGGTTCATACGCCATTTGTTCCTTGAGGATATTGGAGCCCATGTGCACCATTGGTTTGGAATGATGGTTTTCCGACTCCCCTAGATAGAACTGCATATTTACCAGTCCGGTTAAAGCGCCAGACATTCGCTTTTCTTCCTTTCAATTTCGTAAACAACAGTAATACCGCGAGGAGGCGGTGAGTAGGACTTTCCTGTTGTCAGTGGTTGTATGCAAATGGCCATGTGAAAGCATTTCGAGAGAGAGAGAGATCTGACTCTCCCTACTCTTGGCAGTACCGGCGCATTTGAGGGCATCAAGAAGTTTACCTTTAGATCTGCTCATATTCATAAGATAAGAAGAACTGAGCAAATAACAATACCATTTCTTGTAGCATCTTTTTTTCTTATTGATATTTCAATAGTTACTACCTATGAATGATACAATTCTGATAAATAACAACATGAATTCATATTCATCTATTATTGCTTATCTTAGTGACCTAATTTAAAATTCTATGTATTTAGTTTATTATGATTGACATCTTTATAAAACTAATCACTATGACTGAATATACATGATTACTTTTTATTCATATAAACATATTTAGTTGTTAAGGTTAAATAATCATTTTGTTACTAAGCCATTTGATTTAACTAAATGATTTTTAATAGTTAAACAATGAAATAAAACAATCTAAAATCAATTTCAATTCATTTACTATGGTTGTTGTTGTTGTTGTCTTACTTGTATCTTTTCATTATTGTTTTAGGACTGTAATTGATCAGTCCTCTTGATGGCATATGTGCATTGTGTACGGATTGCCTTGGTATTGACTTAATTCACAAACTTTATAAACAAAGATGGATAGTGGTTAGTAGTGGAATCCAGTTTGACGCGCGTTTCATCCTATTCGGGACTTGTCAACTGGATGTATCTGCATCTCAGAGTTAATGTTCACTCTAGGAGGGACTCGAACGCAGCAGAATTCTTTTTAAACAACATCGCTTTATACACTTAACTACTGAGTCCCTGAGTGAATATCAACTCTGTGATGTAGGTACATTCAATTAACGGATCGTAAATATAACGAAACATGCATCCTGTATTGCACTGCTAGTCACAATCTATCTTTGCTAAAACTAATTTATTTGCATATAACTTAATATTTTACATTTGCTACAGATTATGTATTGCATATGTTCCCTTTTTTAAATATCCAATAGTAATTGAAGGGTAAACACAATGATTGATTGTGTGTATACATACCCCTATCAATATATGACGTAATGATAACGCCAATTAAAGAACAGGGATTTATCGTCCGAACCGGCAACGCATAAAACACTGATAAAACAGTCTAGAGTCTTTGTCGATCCTTCTTCCTGCCTAGCCCTGACCGTCTGTTAAGTCCACAACACCAATCTCAACCTCTGCAATATGAATCATTATATTTCAAACATACTCTGTTTAGATACCAACCAAACAGACCACATCGTACCATAACATGGAAAACAACATTTATACAAGATTTAGTCAATAGTGACTATGAATGTAGGAGACTGTAATTAATAGACAGGGCATAATTCAAGCACGGTAACTCGTATAATAATAGTCTATAGGTCAAAGTAAAGCTTATAATAAGAGGTGTACAGATATACATAATCGAGCTACTAAATAGTTATACATTAAGAATATACGTATCATATTTGTCCATGAACAGTTCTCAAAAGTTACCATTCATAATTCTCTCAGGGTTGTATAGTGTAATCTCTCTATGATTGTAGATGATGAGTGAATAAACGTCATGTATACAGACACCATGTCAGATGGAAAACATACTAAATACCAACAACAACAAAAAAAGACATCAATATGCACAAGTTATTGATGTAACTAACATTTACTGACGAATTCACCAACATTATTGAAGTATTTACCCTGAAAACTGTTGTTCACAAATGTAAGTTGACTCCCCATCTGCCCCCCCCCAGAAAAAACGAAGATTTTATGTGAAAAATTGTTAAGTTGTCAAAATTAGCCTCCATCAGTGACGATCAGAAATTAGATAACATTTTATGTTTGAATAATAATCTCTGCTCTTATTGTTTCAGATATACATTTGTAGAGTCAGTGAAATGTTACTGACCCGTGGCGAAATCATTCGGCAGTTGAGTCAATAAATATCAGACAGATCATTGATCCTTGTCAAAATCAAGGATAAACAACACACATCAGTTGATCGTATGCTATGAACTGATTCATGCGGTGATGATCTCGATAACTTCTCTATAATCATTCTTACTACTTTATGTTATACGATCTTGAAAGCAATCATAGTACTTTGATACATGGAAGGGGTTATCCATGTTAGATGCTGATTGCGAGATGTGACTGGTTTGTCACACCATTCCTGTTTAACTCAAGTAGGCCTTCAATCATTAATGTGGATGATCAAGACGTTTAAATGATTTTGCTTGTTGTATAAGGTACAATGAAGACTAATTGCATTTCAGTCAAATTTATCATCATTTAAACAGATCCATTTGCATAGTCTAAACTAACAGTAATCCATGTCTCAGTATTTAGTTGTCAATACTGATAGACATGATGGCTAGTTTAACTACCTTAACATTATGAACATATTCCATAAATGATCTTTATCATAATAAATAAATAATGTAAATACAATTATCCGAAAGAGGATTTTATAATTTAATGGTTAAAATCATAAGTTAAGGAAAACTAGACCACCATGGAAAACCTGGGAACACTAGACGACTGTTTCATTTTACTGTGAAACTCCTCAACAGTTCACATCCAAGATCATATACACCAAACGAACTCAAATCAAACACCTTCAATCTCTTGAATGTGAACGCTTAACCTCTAAACCACTGAACTGACCGGCATCCAATGCTGTTAATGATCTTCAACTTCAACCAATCCACGAAATTGAGAGACACATCCACCATTGTCATCAGTGAGTTACTATCTCACGATACGGTGATTAATATCAGAAGGGATATTTGCGAATATTGTAGTAACTTTAATAGTTCAGACCATCAGTCAATTGAAGCTAGATCATCATGGAAAACATGGAAGTACTAGGCAGCCGTTTTGTCTTACTGTCGGACTCCTCAGCAGTGCACATCCACGATCACATACACCAAACGAACTCATACCAAACACCTTAAATCTCTTGAATGTGAACGCTTAACTTCTAAACCACTGAACTGACCGGCATCCAATGTTGTTAATGATGTCCAACTTTAATCAATCCAAGAAATTCCTTCAACATCTACCATTGTCATCAATGAGTTACTCACTTACAATAGACCTGGTTGTATACAATTGTTTACATTTGGGAAAATAACAGATTTGCTTTTCCACAATCATAATTAAGTTCCTTAGAATCCACCCCCATCCAAAAAAACAAAAAAATGTGTTGCATTTATGTTTGTTTGTTTCTATGTAAACAGTTTTCTCTTATTTTTTTTCTCTCATTCAATGATCAATATTACAAATTGTTTATTTGAATTCGTTACATTGAACACGTTCTTCTGTAAATGAAGAAAAGAAAAAAAGAAAATGATTATTATTCCTTTTTCAATTCATTAAAACAGAACTCATTTGGTGTTGTTTTATTTGTATTTTTTTCACATTGTTGTTAAGGACTGCAATCAACTAGTCTCTCTTATAGGTAATATATGCGGATTGCTTCGATATTGACTTCATTCACAAGTATTATATACAAAGATGGATAGTGGCTAGGATGTGTGTTTTATTCTATTTGGGACTGGTCAACTGGATATATCCGTATCCATTCCAGAACTCGAACCGAGTATCGTTCACTTCAAACATCATCGCGTTATCCATTTAGTTACTAAGTCTTGATAGTCACCTCCTTGTGTAATGCGGTGAAGTTATATTCACTAGATGTTATTTATTTGTATCTTCCTATTATTATTTAGAACTGGAATTGATCAGTCTCTTGTTGGCATATGTGCATCCTGTGCGATTTGACTTGATATTGGATTCCACTGCTAGCCACTATTCATCTTTGCTTATAATGCTTATGAATTAAGGCAATATCGAGACAATACACACAGTATGCATATATGCCAATAAGAGACTGATCAACTGTAATCTTAAACATCAATGGGAAGATCTCATTGCACAAGCAAGCTAAACCACCATGGAAAACCTGGAAGCACTGAATGACCGTTTCCCACTAGTATAGGACTCTTCAGCATTATAAGATCAAAGTTCCTAGGTTCGAGTCCTAGGTACAGGATCGTGGATGTGCCCTGTTGAGGAGTCTCATACTTGAACAAAACGGTTGTTCAGCGCTTTCAGGGTTTCCATGGTGGTGACCTTTTACTAAGATGATATTCAAGATTAATGTAATGTACAACTGTTCCATTCTAATATGGAATTGCTCTGTAATACTGAAGTATAAACCCAACTATGAAATGAACCTAGGTTAATTAGATCTGTACATCCCGGGCGGTTCGCTTGAATATCTGGGCTACCTGTTCCTACCATCGATCTAGATATTCCAATAAGTTATCTGTTTCCTTGTTTATCTTAACAGATCATTATGGCTATTAGTTGCATAATCTAATCAGGTACAGTTTTGAAAACTTCACGACCTTACACTGTACAAGTTACAAAAAAGTGCAGTCAGAGACATTGTGGCTACTGGTAGTATACAGCGAAATGAATGTACATTGTTTAGATGTCGATTGACTGGACTGCTAACTTCTAACTGGTGATCACTCATTATGTTATCGTCAGAATCGATCAAGAAGTAAAAAAAAAGAGAAACTTGTTGAAGTACTTTGTGTTGAGAATTCTATATTGTGACAAAAATACATAATATTGAATAAAGCCACTAATAATAATAATATCACGTTGGGTTTTGTGGAGATTTTAGAAAATTCACTAGTTGAAATCATGAATCAATTGAAGCTGTACCATCATGGTAAAACTGAAGGCACTGGACGGCCGTTTCGTCCTAGTACGGAACTCCTCAGCAGTGCGCATCCATGATCCCGCACCCCGCGAAATTCGAACGCAGGATTTATCAGTCTCGCACCAGGCGCTTAACCAGCTAGACCACTGAGCCGGCCGGCATCCAATGGTGTTAATGATATCCAACTTGAATCAATCCACGAAGTTGCGCCACCGTACACCATTGTTTCCAGCAAGTTGATATCTCACAACAGACCTGGTTGAACTCCACTGGTATTATTATGTGTAAGAACGAATGCTAATACCCAGTTTCCCAAACTGAAATAGACAGATAGGGTTTCGAACTTGACTTAGTGGCTAATAATTGAACACTTTAACAACAAAACCCCTGATCTATCGTCTTCATCTCCAACTTCATTAAATCTCATCAGTCATATTGATTGCAATTCTGATATAATGAAATTCTATTAATTAGGGCTTTTCATTAAAGAACTTCTCTAGAAATTCATCATTTGTAAATGTTGAATTATTCTTTATCTAATTCATTGTATAGTCATGAAATAGTTTTCATTACAGACTAAAAGTAGGTGATACTTTCCCTGATATAACATATTGACATATTCATCATCTTAGTAAAGAATTCAACCAAATTTGTCATGTCTTGTTGTTGAATGCTACTTGTTATTATCTGATCATTGCTGATTGTTATGATACCCGAAACGATGAACCTCCGTAATTCTCACGATGCAAAAAGTAAGAACACAATGACTGATATAAGTGAAGATTGATTAACCTTCAAAACACAATGACGACAACGATGACCAGATGGGATTTTGGGAAAAAGTTGACAAGATATATCCACATTTACTTTAATAAGGATTGATACTCATTGAAACTATTACCATTATTCACTTGATATTGTTTTATTTGAATCTTCCCATTGATGTTTTCTTTAGGGCTGAAATTGATCAGTCTCTTATTGGCATATGTGCATACTGTGCGTATGCCTCGATATTGCCTTAATTTACAAGCATTATAAGCAAAGATGGATAGTGGCTAGCAGTGGAATCCAGGACGCACGTTTCGTCCTGTTTGGGACTCGTCAGCTGGATGTACCTGCATCTCAGAGTTGATGTTCACTCAGTAGCTAAGTGGATAACGCGATGGCGTTTGAAGCGAACGGTACTGAGTTCGAGTCCCAGAGTGAACATCAACTCTGAGATGCAGGTACATCCAGCTGACGAGTCCCAAACAGGACGAAACGCGCGTCCTGGATTCCACTGCTAGCCACTATCCATCTTTGCTTATTACCATTATTGATCCATTTTGAATTATAATTAAAGTAATCAGTGAATAATGATATTTCAGCTTATTAATCATTTTTGTTTAACACTGTATCCATCTATATTGAGTATATTTAGTAAATGTCTACCTACATCATATATTCAACTGTATATTGAAAAGGTAAATGAATGTAAGTCACTCTTTTGTACACATAGGCAACAACTATATAGATAGATACATAGATAGATAGATATACTAAAATAGATGAAATCGTTAAACAGGGTGGTATACATGTATGTGGTTTTTGGGGAAAAGCAAAGCAAACAAGAACAAATAAACTATCCGGTTCAACATGTTATTATCATTTTATCTGATCAATTTAGGCTAAATGAAACTTATGGGAATGGATCGGTTGTTTTTGTTTTTCCCATTTGATGATCTATTGATTTACAATTTTCTTTTAATGACAATGATATAAATATGTACATTGATAATAGCGATAAGTCTTGTCGACTGAACGCTATATTTATTTCCTAATCTCTTCCGATGACCCTCATGCTAGAACTACACAGCGACTTGAACAGCAGAGAGAAGACACAAGTATGAGAGAAACTACTTTATCCCAAGGTTCGTTTTATTACAGAAAATATAGGGTTTTTATAATATGCTTAAATGTCCTTGGGTTGCTAGAAGATTCTGGAACGCTACTAAACATAGTAGCAGTGTAGCAATCAATCAATCAGAAACACTACATGTGACATTTCTGGTTAAAACTTCAGATGAACGCTGATTGGAGGAAACGCTTCTTAGTGTTTCCTGACCCTTGGCTTGAACTTTGCGAGAAATTTACTGGGTCATCCCAACAGATAGATATTATGAACAAATTCAATGAAGCATAATTCAACCTGAAGTCCCTCTAGAGCTACTGTCCGTTTGAAATGAACAGTTCTGGTTTCGAGTCCCTCTCAGAGTGAACATCAAATCTGAGATGAAGGTACATTCAGTTGACGAGTCCAGACTAGGACAAAACACGCGTCAAACTGGATTCCATTGTTAACCTCTATCCATCTTTGCTTAAAATGGTAACTATTTGTTGCTGCTTTTTCGAAGATAGTTTCTTTACTAATCATCTGATGTTGTGGAATACATATATAAAACTGAACATTATAAACGGCGAGACTCTAATTTATGGACGACCTTTGAAAGAATCCCAAGTGACCTTGAGAACTATTAGTCAATCAGCGAACAGTCAGTATAGAGTAAAAATATGTTATACAAAACTAAGGAAATAAAGTGGATACACTTCTTATACGTGGTTCAAAAACTTATCATGATTAGAAAAAGGTTTAAAGGTTCTAAAATCGTAATGCATGCAGTAGAGCGAATCATCCATACGGCTACAGAATAGTCGGCCTCTGGAGCCACGATAAAGTCTCAAATACTCTTTCAGCCTCGACCACATAGTTCCAATATTGTTTATGTGCACTCCGGTTGTTGAGTGCACAAAATGCTACTTGCGGATAACGACATGATGCACATAACCGAGCCTATGTAGGAGTCAGTACACTCTCTAAGACTCCGCATATATTGTAGTACCTCGCTGCAGCCTGTTTTACCGGTGCTTTTATTATCCAGTTCTCGATAGTTGTCATAATTTGCCTTAGTTAGGAATTATATATAAATAGGGTTTTCATCACGAACTAACATCAGCTATAATGCCAGAAATTTATTCAGCCAAATGGATGAAAGACTTTCGTGTTAAAATCCGAGATCTATTATCTTGTACCTGATTGATTCGTGCACAAATTATAGTCTCGCCGTTTTATTTGTTATAGCCGTCCAATGATCACGTTTTCTACAAAACTCGTTGTGAACCCATTGTACGTTAGCATTAAGCACTGAAGTTGGTGCCGTAACCCTGAAATCTCTAAAACGCTTCTGATTGACTCATCCATAAATTAAAGTCTCATCATTTTAACCATTTTAACTATCAAACACTTTATATAAGCTATGATAATCCATTCAAATATATGAGAAACCTATTTTACAACTATATAATGAGTAGCAATAAATCTTCATGTTTTAAATTTATTTTACCTCTATATGTATTGTCTGAAAGAGAAATGAACAAGTGACAAGAACATTGGAATTGATACATCTAAAGTATACAGTAGATAAACAAGCATTAATTGGTACAAATAAATTGGTAGTAAACTTAATAATTATAGATGGATAGTAGACTTTGAGTTTTAAAAACTATCAGAAAGGGTTTCTGCGGATATTATAGTAATTTCAATAGTTGAGATCATGAGACAATTGAAGCTTGACCACCATGGATGTGTCGTTCAATTTCATGTATTAGTTGAAGATAGACATTACCACCATTGGATGCCGGCCGGCTCAGTGGTCTAGAGGTTAAGCATTCGCGAACGAGACTGATAACTTTTAGGTTCGAGTCTCGCGAGGCAGGATCGTGGATATGCACTGCTGAAGAGTCCCAAAATAGGACGATCTAGCGGTCTAGCTTCAAATGACACGTGATTTCAAATATTAAAAAATAGTTGAATTCATGAGTTACTTAAAATTAGACTATCATGGAAATCCTGGAAGTACTGGACGACCGTTTCGTCCTATATTTTCAGATAATTAAAATTGAAATGTTGTTAAACTGGAGCTTCGTACTATACTGAGTAATTACTGTTAGGAATTCATTATTATTACAGAATTTACGGTATGGAATAAAGGAATTATTATGATTTCTATAAACCTGTTGAAATTTCAGTCAGTCAGCTACAACGTAGGACCAGGCACATATATGCATCGGTTCAAGTTGCCATACCTCATTAGCACAACAACATCAACACCAAATTCATAGAAGTAGTCACTTCAATGGTAGTAATATATAAAAGAAGGATCGCGTATAAGGATATATAGTACAGGAAGAAAGAATTAGTTCGTAGAAAGAAAGATATAAAGCTATTTTAATCTCACACTTTAAGGGAAGACAAAGACTGTATACATCGGCTCCATTGTGTTCGATCGATTCTGATCCATGTCACACAAAGTCTCCGACCATTGGTTACGACAGTCTCTCGGACTCCAACCAAGTAGTCTGGGTCTACCAACATGGTTCAGACTAAGAGTCAGTGACTTCAATAACTGTTGCCACGTTTTGGTTTGGCCGCCTCTAACTTTCTTCCAACCATCTCCAACACCGGTTAGCATTGCACATCATGATAATCGGTGTTCAGGTATAAGTAACACGTGGCCCAACCATGTCAGTCGATGAAGATTCACAATTTCATCAACTGATTTACCATCATTCCTTAATACCCTACATCTAACCTCACTATTACTTACGTGGTGATCCTAATAGATGCGATCAATATTTCTAAGGCATCGGTTGTCAGATTCTAGCAACTTACGATTATCTTCTGCTCTTAATGACCAGGTCTCACAGCCGTAAAGTTGAACAGAACGAACTGCTTCTCAGTATACTCGTTCTCTTATTGATAGACGAATATTTCGCCATCGCCATAGGTGACGTAAATTGGCGAAAGCCAAATGAGCTTCCGTCAAACACTAACCCAATAGGGATGGTCAGACTTCCAAGATAAGTGAAGTTGTCAACGCGTTCGACTACTTCACTCCCTATCCTTAGATCAGGTGTTGACGCAGACCAGTCCTGAAGCAACAATTTGCATTTAGAGGGAGAGAAGCGCATTCCAAACATTCTGGCATTGTTGCTCAGTGTTACCAAAAGACTCTACACTTTATCAGCGTTCTCAGCAAACAGGACTATATCACCTCCGTATTCTAAGACGATAAGTGGACCTCCTGGTAAGATATCGATGTCTGAAAATTCAGTCGACGATAGCGTTATTTCCATCAATAAGTCTATGATGAAGTTGAACGAAAATGGAGAAAGTGGACAGCCTTGATGGACAGCACTTAAGGTTTCAAAAGTAGATAACAATTTGCCATAAGCTCTGACTCGACTAGTAGTGTTCGAGTAAAGAACCTTCACAAAGTTTCTGTACTTCTAAAGTACACCTTTCAATGTCAGACATTGCCACAAAACCTCTAGGTCTACAGAGTCAAATGCTGCTTTAAGATCAAGAAAAACTATCATCGTAGGATACTAATAAGCATGTCTATGTTCTATAACATGATGAGTAGTGAATATGTCTACAATGCAGTCACGACTAGGTCTAAAGTCAACCTAATTCTCTCGTATCTACAGTTCACAAGTCTTTGTTAAACGCTCGATAATTATTGACGCTAGTATTATAGATGTTATATTAGTCAAGGTTAAGAAAAACATAAACACAATGATACACATACATTCAACTGTATGTATCAACAAAAAAAGAGATGAAATTCACATCTTGGATCTAGTTATTCTATAGAAGATCTATGTAAGTTTATGTTTATTGATCAATTTCTCCCCCCCCCATTACAAAGAGACATTATATAAACATTCACGTCTACTGTATCTTCTTTATTCCCATTCATTAATCATTCGTTTCTTTTCTCTTATCCTATATCTATGGTTACTTGGGATAATGATGAATTCAATGCATTCAACATATTAATCATTTATTGTTTATAATAATAAGTTATGTCGTTATTTATATACCTCAAATTATTGATTGAATCATATTGATTCATTGAAAATTGTCAAATAGAAATGAAGCTTCCAGGTATTTCATGATGGTCTAGCTTCAATTGACTCATGATCTCAACCATTGAAATTACTATAATATCTACAAAACTCCTATCTGATATTATTCAACATATGCTCACTAGTGATAGGCTTCAAGAGGTATATCCTGGAGTTCTAGTGAGAAGTAGTGACCAGTGGAGATCAACCGGGTCAGTTGTGAGATAGTAATTCACTGATGACAATGGTGGATGTGTCTCTCGATTTCGAGGATTGGTTGAAGTTGGTCATCATTAACAGCATTGGATGCCGGTCAGTTCAGTGGTTTAGAGGTTAAGCGTTCACATTCAAGAGATTTAAGGTGTTTGGTTTGAGTTCGTTTGGTGTATGTGATCGTGGATGTGCACTGCTGAGGAGTCCGACAGTAAGACAAAACGGCTGCCTAGTACTTCCATGTTTTCCATGATGATCTAGCTTCAATTGACTGATGGTCTGAACTATTAAAGTTACTACAATATTCGCCAAAACCCCTTTTGATATTTACTAATTGTTCCTTCGAACTTTTTTAAATGGAATATAACACAAATTTTAAGGGTGAAGGAATTTGTGGGGAACGATCAGGTTTATAATGAAATTGACTTCTATACACTTTTGAGAATGTTCCTAATCGCACAAAAAGACATGGAATGTACGTGTTATCCGAACTGAAGAATATTTTGAAAACGACAATTCTAAGATCTTAGTTTACTAATTAATCAGAGAGATCATTGTTGTAGTGGTCCAGAAAATTTCTTGCAAAAGACATGCAAGGATCAGGAAACACTAAGATCCTGGTGGAGAAGATTTGTAGCTCAGGTGGATGATTTTGGTGGAGTTTTGTTCTCTGAGCTGGATGGTTTGGTCGTGGAGCTTTCATCGTTCTCAGAGAACAAAAACACTAAGAAGCGTTTCATCTAATCAGTGTTTACTTGAAGTTTTAGCCAAAAATATCAAGGAAGTGGAACGTCACATGAAGAGGTTCTGATTGGCAGATTGCTACACTGCTACTATGTTGAGTAGCATTCCAGAATCTTCTAGCAACCCAAGGACATTTAAGCATATTATAAAAACCCTGTATTTTCTGTATTAAGATGAACCTTGGAGCAAGGTACTTCTCGCATACTTTGCGTCTTCGCTCTCTCGTTATTCAGGTCGCTGTATAGTTCTAGCTTGGGGGTTACAGAATAGTTTAGGAAACGAATATAGCGTTCACAATTAACAAGACTTATCAATCATATACATATTGTAAATACATAACTAACCTTGAGGAATATCAAAACAATTATGCCATTGATCAAATGATATTCCACCAGAACCGGAACATCGATTAATAAATACTTCTAAACATGGTGTTGAAGGTAATAACAATTGATATAAGTAGTTCAAATCATCTTGTTGTAATGATCTAATAAAGAATAAACAAAATATTCATATCATGATCAAATATAGAAAACATAAAAAAACAAGGCACAATTCTTTAAGAGATTAAATGACACAAGCCATAATCTCTGGATGAAATGATCAATTATGTCAAGAGAGAAGATGGGCATTAATGGTGGATGAAATCATCAGCAGAACAAAAATTCCAGCTAGAACACTCCAAAGTCGCTAATAAGAAGACAGAATACTAGTGAAAGGAATGCGATTCCAAAACAGTGTCAATTATAGTACAAAACTGTCAGGTAGTCCGAACGAAATCATCATTATAGTCCTTCAATTCGCATACAGAGGGTTATTTGTATTTGTTCAACAGGGAAGCTCCACGTAGGGATTCTGGAATATTCTTTCAAAAGATAATTGGATGAAACATTTTTGGCTCTTTCTGAGGTTCTTAGGGCTACCTCAAGTTCACCTATGGACTGTCGTAACACATTGGGTAGATTATTATAAATAAAAATAGATGTAGATATCCAACTGAGTAGAAACATTAGATTTGCTGATGTTTCGTGACTCATTGTAATCCACTTCTTCAGTGAAGAAATAACCAAATTAAAATTAATTCATGATCGGACACATGGGACTCAATGAGTTTTTTTATAACAACAAAGGTATCGTCTACATACCTAAGTTAAAGTTGTGGTTCCATATCATTGGATAGATAGTCCAAGTCGGATGTATAGTGGGGTCTTCTTTTCTATCGAAAGCAGTAGTGTGGTGTGTGCTACTCATATTGACATAAGTAGTAGATGATGTTAGTCGTAAACAGAAGGTCTGACAGCAGAGAGACAAGAGAATCGAACAGTAAAGAATGGAAACAGAATGCAATTTGTATGAAAATGCAAGAACAATGAAGTCTGAGTCATTATGAAACAAGTGATGGACATTTTGCGAATTAAGCATTTACTTTATGATCGTTAGATTTTATTAACAAGTCCTGTAATTTTGTGTTAAGTACATTCGGTTGTCCCTACTGGTGTTCTGTTCACTACATTTGGTGACGCTGCCAACCAGGAGGGGAAGGGTGCTGTTCTGAGAACGCCGTTGCGGGCCTGGAGCTGAGGTGCTAGTTGAGGCATTGTGGTGCGGAGGAGTAGCGTCGAGTGAAGTGTTCCGGCTGGGCGGCTTTGACCGCACTAGGTGCTGCCGACGGAAAGGAGCGATGGGACATGCGGCTGATGGGTGGACATCGGATGTAGATGGCTCGACAGGCCAGTGGAGCACGGGTATTAAGGTGCCGGGTGCATGTCAGATGTTGTTGCGCCGGCAGGTCGACAGAGCTATGGAGGTCGGCGCGCCGCAGACTCGACATTTTGACGCAGAGCGTAGCACAGACTGCAGAGACGGAGAATGTGACACGACGAGCATGAACCACCGCAAGGACGACTGCCTTAAAGGGGGGACGAGTGTGGTGTGTGCTATTCATAATGACATAAGCAGTAGATGATGTTAGTCGTAAACAGAAGGTCTAACAGCAGAGAGACAAGAGAATTGAACAGTAAAGAATGGAAACAGAATGCAATTTGTATGAAAATTCAAGAACAATGAAGTCTGAGTCATTTTGTGACAGTTGGTGGACATTTTGCAAATCGAAATGTATCAAAACAAAACACTAAAAATGTATCTATTTATTATTGATCAAATATGTTTTAGTTATTGAACTAATTCAATTGATAATGTACACTTCCAGAATGTTCATTGTGTTCACAGAGAACATTGAGATTGTATGGGAAATTGCACTGTGAAGGTCTTAGCAACTAAAGTTTTCACAGCTGTTCATGATTATATATGTAATGTGTTTAAAGTGAACAATTTTTGTACGTTGGTATGTATCAGTATAACAAACGGAAATCATGGAGTATATATGTCTAAAATGACCCAGACAAAGACATGTAAATGATGACATTGACCAGATGATTAATTCACTCATTCATAATAGGCCACCAACAGTTGATTTTCTCACTTATCAACATATGATCTATCCGTCTTTGTCTGATATATTCTAATATAAAGATTAAAATGAATAATGAACGAATGATGATAATCAAGAATAAGTCTTCATTGATATGGGTTACATCTATGTCTGTATTCATCAATATCATCGTATTTGTAACTTTAAGAAGAAGAAGAAGAAGGTGTTACAGAACTGAATCATCATTATTCAGTGCTACCTACAGATCAATATCATTACCTGATATTTTCAGGTTATCATTTGATTTAGTAATAAAGTTATCATTGAATAACAATATTTCACTGATTGAGATCATGAGTCAATTGAAGCTAAACCACCATGGAAAACCTGGAAACACTGGACGGTCGTTTCTTCCTAGGGTGGGACTCCTCAGCAGTGCGCGTCCACGATCCCAACCCCCGCGAGACTTGAACCCTGAACCTATCGGTCTCGCGCCAGGCGTCTAACCAACTAGACCACTGAGCTAGCCGGCATCCAATGGTGTTAATGTCTAACTTCAATCAATCCACGAAGTTGAGCCACCATACATCATTGTCTTCAGTGAGTTGATATCTCACAACAGACCTGGTTGAACTCCACTGGTAACGATTTCTCACTAGAACTCCTAGAGTATCTCTTGAAGTCAGTCACTAATGAGCAGGCGATTATTATCATTCATTTTATACTTTAAATCAATCTATCATGGAAATAAAGATGAATAGACCTTCTTTTATTTCTATAAATAAACATATTAAAAGTACTTTTTCTATCATCAACTCATTATTCATGTTTAAACGAGTTTCAATGTAGAATTTGTGAATAAAATAAGAAAGTACAAAATACATTGCAGTAGCCAAATTATAGAATAAACATGATAATTCATCTTCTATTTTGTTACCATTCTGTTTTATTTGTTTTAAACAAATTATATTCATGTAATAAGGTCCTATCATCATCATGATTATATAAGCAAAGATGGATAGTAGCTAGCAGTGGTCCCGCATTACGTCCTATTAGGAACTCGTCAATTGGACGTACCTGCATCTCAGAGTTGATGTGAATTAAAGCAATATCGAGGCAATCCACCCAGCATACAGATATGCCAATAAGAGACAGATCAAGTTTGGTTCTAAACATTAATGAAAAGATTCATGTGAACAATACCAAGTGAATTTAAACCCCACCCCTCCCCTACATCGCATCAACAAGTTGCTATCAGGACTCAGTTTGAGATTCGAAGTAAACACCATATCTTCTTATTAATCTCTTACAAATGGTTATTATCATTATGATTACATCATATTCAATAGTTGATCAACGACAACAACAACAACCTTTCGTTAGCTTTTATTCATACAGAACTCATATACACAATTGTGATCAGATTTTCTTGATATTACTATTGTTGCTACTATTATTATTACTACCAATATAGTTGTTACTATCAGTATTATTAATACTATTAGTACTACTACAATTTCTGCTGTTATATCTCGATAAGACTAATGAATGGTAACTTTTGGGATCCATTTATGGACCAATACTATGGGTATATTTTTATCGTGTAATTGTTATGTAACTAAACTGTTCATATTTATGTCCCTCTTATTGTGAGCTTTATTTCGACCTATAAACTTTTATTATACGATTTACCATTCTTGAATTATGGCCTGTCTATTAATCACTAACTCCCTCATTCACAGCCACATTTGGGTAAATCTTGGACGAATGTTGTTTCTTATTTTATGGTACGTTGTGTTCTGTCTGGTTCATATATAAACCCAGTATGTTTGAAATATGATGATTCGTATGGTGAAGGCTGAGATTGATGTTTTGAACTTAACTGACTGGGCTAGACAGGAAGCGAGGCCAATCAAGACTCTAGACTGCTCGTACAGGTTTTATGCGTCACTGGTTCGATCGATAATTCGCTGCTCTCTGACTGGCGATATCGTAACACAGAGATGAATCCATGGGAATAAAGTTTTGTTAAGAGTATGAAGTAGTTATCTCATTGATTAAGATATTGAATTAGAATTCTGTTATAGAGTGAATCAAATGGAAGTTGGATAAACAGCTGAACAGTTGAATGATACCTTGGCAATATGAGTTAACTATTTATTATCAGTATAAACGGCTTTATTCAACATCATATATTTTTTTGCTGGAACATGGAATTCTCAACACAAAAGTATTTCAAACAAGTTTCTCATTTCTTACTTCTTCTTGATTCATCTTGACGATAACATATTGAGTAATCGTCAATTAGATGTTAACAATTCAAGAACCCATTCTGATAATAATAATAATCACTCGCTCACTAGTGACTGACTTCAAGAGATACTCTTGGAGTTCTAGTGAGAAGTCGTTACCAATGGAGTTCAACCAGGTCTGATGTGAGATATCAACTCACTGAAGACAATGCTGTATGGTGGCTCAACTTCGTGGATTGGTTGAAGTTGGACATCATTAACACCATTGGATGCCGGCTAGCTCAGTGGTCTAGTTGGTTAGACGCCTGGCGCGAGACTGATAGGTTCAGGGTTCGAGTCTCGCGGCTGGAGGGTGGGGTCATAGACGCGCACTGCTGAGGAGTCCCATACTAGGATGAGGCGACCGTCACAATTGATTGATCACTGGGTGGTGATCAATCTCATGCTTGTCTAGTCCAGTGCTTATGGATTTTCCACGGTTGTCTAGCTTCAACTGACTCATGAATTCAAGCAGTGAAATTTCTAAAAATCTCCACAAAATCCATTCTGATAGTAATTCAAGAAACATTATTTGAATCATGTACAATCGTTTCAATACATACTACTTACAACAAGCACAATGTCTCTGATTGGGCTTTTTTCGCAGCTTGTACACTGAAATGACGTAAACTTATCACAAACTCACCTGAATACGTTTTGCGATAAATGGACATAACGATAATGGTAAAACAAACAAGAAAACAAATAATGTGTTGAAATATCTAGATCGATGGTAGGAATAGGTAGCTCAGATGTTAAACCAGATCGCCAAAAAGTAAAAAAAATAATAATGATATCAGATTTTAAGTAGTGAATATCATGAGTCTATTATAGCGAGATCACCATGGAAAACCTTGAAACACTAGATTACCGTTTCATCCTTGTATGTAACTCCTCAGCACATTGAGACCGGAGGTTCTGGATTAAAGTTCCACGTGCAAGATCATAGATACACACTGTTGAGGAGTCCTAGACTGTTCAATGCTTCCAGTTTCTCAATAAGTAGTCTAGCTTTCATCGATTCATGAATTCAATGATTACACTCTTCACAAAATCCCCTTTTTCTTTCTGATAATATTTATTATTCACAAACTGTTTCTTATAATTCAGGTCAAATAATTTTCATCATTTCATTAATCTATTCAATAAATCATCTAGTTAAGGTTAGTTATTCAATTAATCTGTTGTGAATCATTTCTATTTAGGTCAGATCATTAAACAAGTTCATATTGAATAGGTGGTAAGTTATGGTGTATTTCCCATCTTGTTAGTTAATAAACTAGTCTAGATGTTCAATAGTCTACTATGACAAAATACACAAAAAGAAAACAAAATAGAAGAAACCCTTCTATGTTTCTTTTTGTTACTTCTATATTATCTAGACCACCCTATCAACTAACCAACCATCCACTAAACCATCATACTTTACTATAGTTTGATTTATCATTGAAATCAATGTCTTCATGTATATAATATTGATGTTACTATTGATCAATTTGAGAAATTGGTTAGTAACAGATAAAATGTAATGGATAATGTTTTCTTCTCAACAATGAATATGCATGACTTTTTCTAAGAGTTAAGTTATTTATATCGTCTTGGAAACAAGTTAGTTTCAGATATTGATTGGTTAAAGTCTGACATTAACACGATTGGATGCTTGCCAGCTCAGTGGTCTAATGGTTAAGCGCTCGTGTGCGGGTCTCATAAGTCATGGGTTCGAGTCTCGCAGGGGGAGGCGGGATCGTGGATGTTCACTCCTGAGAATTTCCATACTACTAGGGGACGATTGTTTAGTTCTTTCAGGTTTCCAATGATTGTCTAGCTTCAATTGACTCATAATCTCAACTATTGAAATTCCTAGTCTAATAAGAACAAAAAATTTCAATGGTTAAGATCATGAGTCAGTTGAAGTTAAACCACCATGGAAAACCCGGAAGCACTGGACGGCCGTTTTGTCCTAGTATGGAACTCCTCAGCAGTGTGCATCCACGACCTCGCCCCCCTGCGGGATTCCACCCCAGGACCTACTGGTTTCGCGTGCGAGCACTTAACTACTAGACCACTGAGCCGGCATCCAACAAAAAATCCTGTATCATAGCTAAGAAAATTCTTCATTGATAGATAAGAAAGAATGTATTGAGTTAAATGAAAGTATATAATGATGAAAAGCAAGAATCAAACATAAAAATTAAATTTAACTAACCCTCTATTCCTTCGATCAAGTTCACAAAACCAATAACTAATCACAGCACCATTAACTCTTTCATGAGGTGAACTTTGTGATACTAATTTACTTGTAGTACTTCTTGCTTTAGCATCCATTGGACGAAGTAGACTATCATCATCATTTGACCAAGAAGCAGAAGACCACTGTATAATAAAAAGTATTAAAAAAATTCTTAAGAAGTGAAACAGTAAATTCTAAAGTTAAATTCATTTGGCATTGTTTACTAGAACCTTCCCATTGATGTTTCGGACTGCAATTGATCAATCTTTTATTGACATATGTGACCACTATGCGTATCACTTCTATATTGTCTTAATTCACAAGCTTTTAAAACAAAGATGGATCGTGGTTAGAAGGGGAATTCAGGACGCACGTTTCGTCTTATTTGGGACTGGTCAGTTGGATGTGCCTGAATCTCGAAGTTGATATACACTCTGGGACTCGAACCCAATACCGTTCGCTTCAAACGCCATTGTGTTAAGCAATTAGCTACTGAGATGCAAGTACATCTAGCTGACCAATCCCAAATAGGATGAAACGCGTGTCCTGGATCCCAACGATAGCCATTATCCATCTTTGCTTAGAATTATAAGGATAGTTTTGGAGAGAACAATACCTTTTAAATGAATGAACTTCTCATAAATAATAATAACAGTCATATTAGTGATCAGTTTATTGAATATTGTATCTTTGACTAAAGTAGAAAAGCATCACAAATCTATCTATTTCACTTGTGAATATTGAGAAAAATATGATAAAGAAACGTTTTTCATAGGCAACAGAAGTTGACATTCATATTCAAGCTTAAAATTGTAGACCACGTTTTCCCCCAATAATATTTTTATACTTCCTAATGGACTAAGTAAATGAATTCCAATGTCATTATCTCTTAATTAAAGTCAACTCATATGGTACTTGTCAGGCTAGTGACTGAAAGTGACATTCAATTGAATACTGGTTTTTGTAAGAAAACTAAACAAAATTATTTTGATTGAGATCATGAACCGAATAATGTTAGACAACCTTTGGAAGCCTGGAAGCACTGGACAACCGTTTCGTCCCATCGTGGGACTCCTCAGCGGTACGTGTCCACGAGCCCGCTCGCAGGACTCGAACCCAGGGCCTCCGGTCTCATGCGCGAACGCTTAAGCTACTGGACCACTGAGCCGGCCGGCATACAATGGTGATAGTGTCTAACATCAACCAATCCACGAAATTGCGCGACCACTTGCGACCAATAAAATTTATGATAAAAAATTCCTTGCAACTAGGAAAAGTTGAATTCAAAAGTTTCCCATCCACATACAACAAGTTATTCGTTACATTAGTGTGATTGTTTGTTGAGGACCCTAAGAGTATGGAAGACAAAATTAAACTTAAATCACAGGTCATTGACCAGGATAATTCAACAGTTAGTGGCTCTATATATTTGTATCAATAGGAAGCATTGTCTTAAGCTGATGACTTGTCTTTCTGGTTTCGCCTAAGCACTTCGGTGATATTTTATTCTTCTTTTGATTTCATTGAATAAACTATTGTAGGATTAGTTATATAAATGAAGTTTTAGCCTATCTACCTATGGAGTTTACATACATCTTTTACAGCAAAGTACTAAGTCCATAAAAACACCTGATCAAATGAGCTTTCAAAAAAGGAAATATAGTAAACGTCAACGACAATATGATGTTAAGTTTCCAATCTGCTGCTGCATCACAAAAAATTGTATGTATTTAAATTTTCAATATTGATCAACAGTTTACAGATTTGTCACAATTTTATAGGTATCTGTTAACCTACTTATAATTTATAAGTAGTTATAATGATTTAATATAATTTTTGATGGTGATTGTAAGGCGTTAATGCATAAATTGGTGATCGAATTGTAAGAAATACATTAAAAAATATAAAAATTATTGTTTTATTCTGTTCCAGGATTTTAGACATCAGCTACTTTCAGAAGGAGACTTAATGAGGAGTTTAGTAATTTAATAGTTGAATTCATGAGTCAATTAGAGCTAGACTGCCATGGAATTTTGGAAGCACTGGACGACCATTTCGTTGTAGTATGCTACTCCTCGTCAGTGCACATCCATGATCTCATTATCTGTTGGATTTTGATCGAATTATTTTCACATTAATCAACAGTAACCGAGTTCGATCAATAGAGTAATAAAAATCTTATTTAAATATGATTATGAAAATGATAAAAAGAAACTATAGTAATTACTTTTTGACGTAACAACTCTTGAAACCACATTCCAAGTCGAAGAGAAAATGTACTTTCATTCTGATCCCAATCGCATAAACCGCTAAGATCTTGAATAAATAAAGATAATCAGAAACTTTGTTGTTTATTGAATATTAAAATCAAAACTATAACCATTGAAATTACTATAATATCCACAAAACCCCATTCTGATATTAACCAACATATGCTCACTAATGACTGGCTTCAAGAGGTATATCCTGGAGTTCTAGTGAGAAGTAGTGACCAGTGGAGTTCAACTGAGTTTGTTGTGAGATATCAGCTCACTGAAGATAATGGTGGATGTATCACTCAATTTAGTGGATTATTTGAAGTTAAACATTAACACCATTGGATGTCGGTTCATTAGTCTAGTGGTTAAGCGCTCGCACACGAAACTGATGAATCCTAGATTCGAACCTCACGAAGCGGGATCGTGGATACACACTGCTGAGGAGTTCCATACTAGTAGGGAACAGTCGTTTAGTTTTTCCAGGTTTTCCATAATGGTCTAACTTCAATTGACTCATGATCTCAACTATTGAAATTACTATACTATCCACAAAAACCGTTTTTGATATTAACTTCCATCTGCGAAAATATTTCATGGATCCTATTACATACGGAAACTTTACCGGTTTAAACGTATGATGCCCTACCATATATTTAAGTTGTTTTATTCATAACTTATTCCATTTAATCTAAAATGAAAATCCACCATATTTTCGTTAGATGTTACATAATTTGTATGTTTTACATGTAGAATCAATGCTGTAGATTGGAAATTTAGACATCTTTGTCATAAATTTACATTTCGTTAGTAGTATTTCCTTACTGTTATTACACTTTATAAGTTCAGAAGCGATTCACTTTCATCTCTGAGTGATCTTAACACCAGATACCGTAACTGAGGCTAACTTTTGTCTATTATAGTGGCGCGAGATTGATAGGTCCTGGGTTTGAATCCCGCGGGGTGCGGGATCGTGGATGTGCACTGCTGACGAGTCCCATACTAGGACGAAACGGCTATTCAGTGCTTCCAGGTTTTCCATGGTGGTCTATCCTCAATCGACTCATGATTTCAACAAGTGATATTATAGTTTAAACCACTATGTGCAATTCGATTTCTTCTTTCTTTAAATCAGTTAAAGCTTGAAAATGAATAGATTTGACTGTACAGATGACAAACTGATTGCCCGAGGTTGTTTTTTTAAACCCACCCAAATAGGAGTTAAGTGATTCTAATTTCAAATTCTCAAATACTACTTTACTGATAAATATTAAGTAGTATAATACTTAGATCTACAGTTTCTAAATGACTAAATTCAGTCACCTAACACAAAACATAGTTAACTACCATGTAGAATAATAGAGGTTAATGTTCATTCACATTTGGATATGATTCATAGAATCGGATCAGTACTAAGGACTAGATAACTCATGGTGGCGGTGTTGTTTACGAAATTGAGAGGTGGAAAAGTGAATATCTGACGATTTAACTGAGTTGGTGAACATGGCGAATTCACCTAGGGGAGTTGGAAAACTCTCATTTCAAACCAGTGGTGTACATAGGCTTTATGATCCAAAAGAAACGAATGATGTATGAACCTATTTTTAGTCACCGGCTACAATGGGACTGTATCTCTTGACATTGCTCCACTGCCTTGTGAATTAGACCTTTAGGTTGAAGGCTCCGGATATGGCCCCTTAAGAAAACCGACTGTTTCGGTCTGGTTACCCGGGCAGTATCACAGTCTTCACATATATCGAATAAGATTTGTGTGGCGCATATGTTTTCATTACCCCTTTTTACTAATATTTATATATTCAAATAAATTCATAAACTAGACAACTTTGTGGTCACTTAATATAGATTGATATACTTTAAAAGAATTAGATCAGTGTCCTTTTTTTTTGTTTTCTATCCTCTTCTATGAGACAACTAATCTAATCAATTATTCATTATAAATTGTCTCTATTTAATATTTCAATTGACATATTGAAAGAGAAACAATAATGATCCTTCCCTTCCTTCCTTCCTTCCTTCCTTCCTTCCTTCCTTCCTTCCTTCCTTCCTTCCTTCCTTTCTTCCTTCCTTCCTTCCTTCCTTCCTTCCTTCCTTCCTTCCTTCCTTCCTTCCTTCCTTCCTTCCTTCCCTTCCTTTCCCTTCCCGTCCCTTCCTTCCTCCATTCCTTCCCTCCTACCTTCCTCCCTTTCTTTCTTTCTACCTTTAACCATATGGACAGGAATGAATATGACACATTTGATAGATGAAATCTATTGACTGTTAATCAATGTTTCATTAGAATTTAGCAAAAAAATCAAATTGATTTTATGATTTGGAATAGTTAAATGATTCTAATCATCATTTCCTATCCATCAAAATAGTTGACAAGATATGAATGAATGAAATAAAGATGGAATCAACAAAATTGAGAAACGAATTTAGTTTATGATCACGTTATAATGGATTGTTATCACCGAATATCATGATGGGCAATGTTGACTAGTGTTAGGGATGGTTGGAAGAAAGTTAGTTTTGGCCAAATCAAAATGTGGCAACAGTTATTGAAGTCGCTGACTCTTAGTCTGAACCATGTTGGTAGACCCAGACTACTTGATTGGAGTCCGAGAGACTGTCGTAACCAATGGTCGGAGACTCTGTGTGACATGGCTCAGAATCGATCGGTCACGATGGAGCCGATGTATACACTCTTTGTCTTCCCTTAAACTGTGAGATTAAAATAGGTTTACATCTTTCTTTCTACCAACTAATTCTTTCTTCATGTACTATATTTTTCTACGCAATTTTTCTTTTGTATATTACCAGTATTGGATTAGCTACTTCTATGAATTTGGTGTTGATCTTGTTGCGCTAATGAGATATGGCAACTTGAACCGATGCAGATATGTGCCTGGTCCTACGTTACAGCTGATTGACTGACTGACTGTAAATTCATAGCGGATAGTAGGGTTGTAGATTTGAAGTCGTTACCTAACAGCAACCTTCATCCACCTAACAGAATAGATTAACTAGAGATCCTATAACTGACGTTATATTCAACTAGTCTCTATTAATGATTTCACAACCAATCATAAGTGAATGTTTAGACAGAAATTTTTTTTATCTCATATTATCATCATTGTTAATGGGCTAGATCTTTGAGAATAATCATAGTGAGTCGGTTGTTGAGCCAGTTTTCTTTCTTTTTGGTTATCACTAAAATACATTTGCCAATAACAGACTAATCAATTGCAGTCCTAAGTAACAATAGGAAGATACAGGTAAAACAATACCAAGTGAATTTAAATTTCATCCCATTGCACAAGAAAATAGTTATCAGGATTCAGTAGTTAAGTGGATAATGTGATGGCGTTTGAAGCGAATGATACTGGGTTCGAGTCCCTCTAAGTGTGAACATCAACTCTGAGATACAGATACATCTAACAGATGAGTTCCAAAGAGGACGAAACCCGTATCAAACTAGATTCCACTATTAACCACTATCCATCTTTGCTTAGAATAATATTTAATATTGAAATATCCTTTAAAATAAAACCTACCACGACATTCATCATAATATTTTATTGCAGAATTTTCATTTGCTCTATGATTACTGAATTGATCACTTCCACATCTTGAATCACCTGATCGACAATAACATTGATTTCTCCATAGATCACATTCATGTCTATATGTGACACCATCTACACATAACTAAAAGTAAGAAATATATATAGTGAGCGAATACAGAGACGATTTACACTTTGTATTCTTGGAACTTTTCCTGAAGCCCATCTGAGGTTACTGCCACTCTCAAATCCGGAGAAAGGAGGAAGGTTGGATAAAGGGTTGGCGACCCTAACTCTCTAAAAACGCTAAGCAGATAAAAAGTAAGTAGTTCTTGAAGCTAATTGTACCTTAACTTATAATTCTAGATGTAATAAACTTGGGTCCGACCCTTCATGGAAGAGGGGACTCAAACTAAATCTTATCTTTTTCTTCAAACTACTTCATAAACTATCGTTTACATCCAATCACGTGATTCAATATGCAGAAACTTCTCATTGTGACATTTGTAATGCCTTGGCACTAGTGAAATAAACTCATTCTAAATTATCTCTTTATATGAATTACTTCACCCATAAATTTTCTAGACTCTGGAATAACCTACCACAATCTATCTATACGATAAAATTACTCCCATTATTTATTCGCTGCATCGATGCATACTGCTCCTCTGAAAATGCATTGAATGGTCTAGCACCTGCAAGTGTATCTCATTCCACAAGTAGTATTATAGGATCTTTAAATGTTTAGCCATTTTTATTAATGAATTCCCTAAGTAAAACCGCCTATATGCTGTCATTTTATGTTAACACCGTCCCTAGCAACTTTAACTCATTTGAATAACATCAACAGTATATGACCGGGTCAAATGACACATGCATTCAGGTAGACTTGATTGACATATTTTAGTAATTACTGCTTTGTTGTTCCATACTCTCTGTTTCCATTTCACTTTCTCTAGTTGTAGATGATTATCATGAATTCGTTCTGGCATAGGTAATAACCTTAAACATACCATTTATAAATCAATAAACTGTCCACCATAGGAAAATTTAAAAAAGTTCCTGGCTTATGCATTGGATTGCTATAGTATATGTACTACCTAAACAATGACTGAATTAGTATAATTTAAACTATCTTATATCATATAATTTATGGACCTAATCAATCAGAATTAGGATAACAGGACTTAGACTTTGGCACGAAATTCACTCATCCATTTAGATAAATAGAGTTTTGGCATGATAGCTGATGTTAGTTCGAATTCCTAATCCTTAACCATCAACTGTAAATCATCATCCTTATTCTTCAAACTGCTTTATAACCTTCATTTAGCCCTAGTAAGTAGGTAGACATTCTTAACGTCACGAAACGATCATCCAGTGATTCTAGATTTTCCAAGATAGTCTACATTCAATTAACTTATAATGTCAACTATTGAAATAAGAGAAATATTACTTGTCATTCTAAGAGGTATAGCTTATAGTTAATTTACCTAATGATCAATTTTCTGGGATTAGGTTTTTGATTGAGATCATGAACCGACTGATGTTAGACCACCACCTTTGGAAACCTGGAAGCACTGGACGGCCGTTTCGTCCTATCGTGGGACTCCTCAGCAGTGCGCATCCACAATCCCGCTCGCGGGATTCGAACCCAGGGCCTTCGGTCTCGCGCTTAACCAACTGGACCACTGAGCCGGCCGGCATCCAATGGTGATAGTGTCTAACATCAATCAATCCACGAAATTGCGCGACCATCTTCCATTGTACTAACGTAGATACCTGTCTCTACCCGACATGGATTAGCTCCACTGATCACGGCTTCTCACTAGAACTCTGAGAATTCCCTCACGATTAGAATGACTAATCAGAGTAGAACATTAGTGACTGACAAACAGTTGATTTATTCTCACGATGGTTATATATATATATATATATATATATATATATATATATATATATATATATATATATATATATATATATATATAGTTGATAATGTCTACAACTGAATCAATTACAATTGCATCTTGGAGACACGGCATTCTTTACTATGACATGTACAACTTGATGATTCGTGTTAACTAATTCAAAAGGTAAAATGGCTAGGATTCATTCAGTTCAACTAGTTGGAATAAAGGATAGAGTTATGATTTCATGAGAAGTCATGATAAGTAACTACACCAGATTACATAAAGAAAACGAGATTACTATCAGGACGTTCTTTTGTGCATTATGCTCATAAAGTTTTGGACCGATGGAGAATACTTCTACCTAAATGGGATGCACAGTTCTTACTTCGACATGAAGTGAGCGTTGATCATTTTGTCCAGAGTGATAATGAAAAGCTTCAGAATTAGTCTTCCCAGTTCAATGAACACAATGAGACCAAAAAACGAAATGTTCCTCATCAATAAAACACGTTAAAAACCCTATTAGTATCACTAAAATCAACAAGAAACGAGTATAGATCAATAAAATCTATCAGACTTACTTGTCGATTATAACTATTCCATTCAGATGGACAACTATCCAAACAGTTACATTTGCCATCTTTGCACATTTCACCCAATTTACATTTTACGTTTTCACAAGGATCTATAATCAATCAATCGATCGATCGATTGATTGATTGATTGATTGTGAGCAGAAACAAAGATAAAGTACACAAAAAACAATGTGATAACCATTCTGAATAATAAATTAGTATTGCTAGGATAGGTGAACTACTGCATGAGGCGGAAACTTCAAGAAAGCTACGAAAGTCATCATTTAAAAGATACAAGTGTTTATTAATAGTTGTCTACACAAAATACTTCGGATCCTTTGGTGAGACACTATCAGTAGCAAGCTATTGTGGAAAAGAACAAACCAGATTCCAATGGAGGAAGAAATCAGACAGAAGCGCTGGAAGTGGATAGGACACACATTGAAGAAAACACCCAACTGTGTCACAAGGCAATCCTTCACTTAGAATGTTCAATGCCAAAGGAGGAGAGGAAAATCAAAGAACACATTACGTTGAGAAATAGAGACAGATCTGAGAAGATGAAACCACAATTGGATAGAATAAGAAAGGAAGTTCTAGAACAGTGTGGGTTGGAAAATGCTCGTCGGTGGCCTATACTCCATTGGAAGTAACAAATGTAAGTAAGTAAGTAAGTAAGTAAGTAATAAACTAATTACAAACACATAGATAGAATATAACAATGAATGATGTAAAGAAAGTAAGTGAACTTACCTTCATCCGATTCATCATCAGGTTTAGTCTGAAAAAATAAGAGTTTAGTGATTGATTCAATCAATACAGGAATTTTGTTGCTTATTCTAGTTATTTCAATGATATTAATATATCAGTAACGAATTATCTGATCATTTTAAGTAGGAATAAAATGTTAAACATCATATTACAATTAACAATAAGGAAATAAAGATTACAGCTAGATTAACATGGAAAATTTAGAAGGATTGGACGGTTGTTTTGTCCTAATATGGGACTCTTCAACAGTTGCTAAAATCCCAGCACAAAATCCCCTTCTGATAATAATCATCACATGCTCACTAATGATTTGATTCAAGAGGTATTTCCTAGAGTTCTAGTGAGAAGTCGTGACCAGTAAAGTTCAACCAGGTCTGTTGTGAGATGGTAACTCATTAAAGACGATGGTGGATGATGAAAGAATTTCGTGGAGTGGTTGAAGTTAGACATTAACACCTACTCAGTGGTGTGGAGGTTAAGCGTTAGTGAATGAGACTAGAGGTGTTAGGTTCGAGTCCCTTTTGTGTGCGATCGTGGATATACACTGCACAGTAAAATGAAACAACCGTCCAATGGTTCGAGGTTTCCCATGATGGTCTAGCTTTAATTAACTCATGATTTCAACTATTAAATTACTAAAATCTCCACAAGACCTCCTGAAAATAAAGATTATTTGATCCGACTATTCGTACAATTCACGTCAAATGCAATAAATTAACCATCTTGAAATATAACGTTACATAACTCCATCTGGAGCCCCTCTGGGGCTACTGCCGGTTCCAAGCTTGGAAACACTGGATAGTCATTTTGTCTTAACATATAATTCTTTAGCATTGTACATCCACAACTGCGCATATGAGAATCGAGCGTAGAACCTACAGTCTCGTGAACGAACGTTTAACCTCTACATCACAATTCATATGTTGGGTAGTGTTAGTATTACTAGATTTACTATTATGAATATTTCAGCCTAGAAACAGAATGATTTAGAAATGAAATATGAATACTTTAGTTATATAATTCTTATTATGGATAAAGATATGTATGTGAATAAAGTCAGTATGGTTCTAAATGATTCATCAAGATTCTTAGTTGTTCCATTTCATGAGCATACCGACTTATGAACAAGACATTTAAAGCTGACTTGATTAAAGTTATGGTTTGTAGCTCAGGTGGATGATTTTGATAGAGTTTTGCTCTCAGATATTTAAAGTTTGTGCTGATGATGTCATTCAAAAGAATGATGAAAGTTCGCCTAAAACAAAACAAAATTTATGTTTCTGTGTAGACAGATAGTTGATTATAGTTAAAGCTTAGTTAAAATCAGATAGTATTGTAGTGAACAGAACACAGATGGGGACAATTGAATGTATTTAACACAATATTAGAGGACTTGTTAATAAAATCAAACATATACCATTGTCTTCAGTGAGCTGATATCTCATATCAGACCTGGTTGAACTCCACTGGTAACGGATTATCACTAGAATTCCAGGAGTATCTCTTGAAGTCGGTCACTAGTGAGCAGATGATTATTATCAGAAGAAGTTTTGTGGATATTATAGTAATTTCAATGGGTAAAATCATGAGTCATTTGAAGCTAGACCACCAAGGACGGCTGTTTCATCGTAGTATGGGACTCCTCAGTGGCAGTGCGCATCCACGATCCCGCACCCCGTGAGATTTGAACCCATGTTTTCCATGGTGGTCTAGCTTCAATTGACTCATGATTTCAATCTGTGAAATTTCTAAAATCTCCACAAACCTCTTCTGATAATAAAATCTAACAATCAAATAGTAAATACTTAATTTGCAAAATGTCCATCGATTGTCTCATAATGACTCAGACTTCATTGTTCTTACGTTTCCATATAAATTTCATTCGGTTTCTATTCTTTACTGTTCGATCCTCTTGTCTCTCTGCTGTCAGACATTCTGTTCACGACTAACATCATCTACTACTTATATCAATATAAGTAGCACACACCACAGTATGATTATTATCATTATTATTAATATTAGCTGACTACATGATAATTACTCTTTCCTATTTACACTACACATTTATGTGTTTTATATTGATTTATCTGTCACTATTCATCTATTTCTCAAATATCAACTTTAACTTTGATGAATGAAACCAACACAATGACTAAAATTTAGTTCTTATCCATATTTGAAACTTAAACAACCACATAAACAGTAGTAGGTAAGCATGTGGGGTATGCTATTGATATCGAAAGATATCAGTAGTATGTATTAGTAATCAAAAGTGAAATGTCTAAGTTAAAAAGATTGAAGAGAACAGAATGAGAACACAGAATGATTACTGTGGAAACAAACGAACAATGAACTCTGAGACGATTGATTGACATTTTGTAAATGAAGTGTATAGTGTATGGTTCTGTAATTTTGTAGTAAAGTACATTCGATTGTCCCTTTAGCCCCCCATTGTGTTCTCGTTCATTACAGTCATAGTCTGTCAGATTTAATTTGGAAAAGATGTGACTAATTTGGATTTAAATGACCAAAATAGATACTTCTGGTCATAACCCAACATGATTGAACTTTCAACATGCATAAAGAAGTAATGAATATGAAAATTAGAACCAACATTTGTCTTTATGATGCATTATGATAACATGCTGTGATACTTTTATTTAATTAATCTGTATTATTCATTAATAAAGAAGAATAATTTATGTTATTGTTGCTCTAATGCATGAACCATGAAAAAAGGGCTTTATTTCATCATCATCATCATCATCATCATCATCATCATCATCATCATCATCATCATCATCATCATCATCATCATCATCATCATCATCATCATCATCATCATCATCATCATCATCATCATCATCATCATCATCATCATCATCATCATCATCATCATCATCATCATCATCATCATCATCATCATCATCATCATCATCATCATCATCATCATCATCATCATCATCATCATCATCATCATCATCATCATCATCATCATCATCATCATCATCATCATCATCATCATCATCATCATCATCATCATCATCATCATCATCATCATCATCATCATCATCATCATCACTCACTCACTCACTCACTCACTCACTCACTCACTCACTCACTCACTCACTCACTCACTCACTCACTCACTCACTCACTCACTCACTCACTCACTCACTCACTCACTCACTCACTCACTCACTCACTCACTCACTCACTCACTCACTCACTCACTCACTCACTCACTCACTCACTCACTCACTCACTCACTCACTCACTCACTCACTCACTCACTCACTCACTCACTCACTCACTCACTCACTCACTCACTCACTCACTCACTCACTCACTCACTCACTCACTCACTCACTCACTCACTCACTCACTCACTCACTCGCTCACTCACTCGCTCACTCACTCACTCACTCACTCACTCACTCACTCACTCACTCACTCACTCGCTCACTCACTCGCTCACTCACTCACTCACTCACTCACTCACTCACTCATTCACTATTTGATCAAATGAATGAGTGAATTTCTTGCTAAAATCCAACATCTGTTAACTTAAATCTAATTGATTCGTCTCATCAATACATTTTGTTTGTGATTCAACTACCATAGATTGTGGCAGTCTAGAACTCTCTTAGGATCTTAATGTCTTAAAGATTTAAGATATTGAATGTGTTTAAAGGTAATCAAATATAAAAGAAAAAAACCAGTACACACTTAAGACACTTAACACGATATCAGTTACATGACTAAAGACAGTATGTTTTCGTATGATGAAAACCCAACAACTCAAACAATAATAGAACTTTCATATTAATTTAATCATTAAATTTATGAGTAAATTGAAGCTAGACCATCATGGACAACCTGGAAGAACTGGATAACCGTTTCATTCTAGTATGGAACTCCTCAACAGTGTGCATGCACGATCCCGCCTCGTAAGATTCCAACTCAGAATCTATCGGTCTCGCACACTAACGCTTAACCTCTATACCACTGAGACAGCCGGTATCCAACGGTGTTGATGTCTAACTTGAAGTTTACAAATGAAATAAAAATATTTCTTTGCTATCGTCATAAGTAGGTTTTCATTCTAAGTTATCAACGTTGCACTAATAAATGGTCAGATTTTTAACTTTGAAATTTTATAGAAGTTAAAAGATCCATAGAAGATAACTGACATTGATAATGTTATCTATAGATAGATACTAAAACGTTTATAAATGTGGACTTTAGGTTATTAGATAATTTAAAGAAGTCGGATGTAACTTCCACAGTTAATATGGATGCACACTGCTGAGGATTCCCATGCTAGAGTGAAACATCCGTCCAGTGCTTCCAGGTTTTCCATGATGGTCTAGATTCAATTGACTCATGATCTCAACCATTAAAATTACTACAATATCCTCACTAGTAACTGGCTTCAACAGGTATTTTCTCGAATTCTAGTGAGAAGCAGTGACCAATGGAGTTCAACCAGGTCTGTTGTGAGATAATAACTCGCTGATGAAAATGCTGGACATGTTGCTCAATCTCGTGGATTAGTTAAAGTTAAACATTAACACCATTGGATGCCTGCCGTCTCACTAGTCTAGAGGTTAAACGCTCCTGTGCGAGACTTATGAGTCCTTGGTGCGAATCTCGTGGACCGGGATCTTGGATGCACACTGATGAGGAATCTCATATTAGGGTAAAACGGCCATTCAGTGATTTCAGGTTTTCCTCTAATAAATTGTTAAAGATTAGTTGAGATTAAATTCAATCAAATGAGGAAATACTAAAAACTGGAAAGTATATAGTGAATAACTGTTTCATCCTAGTCCAAAACTCATCAATAATATTAGGCTATGACTCTATCTGGGAAATGAATCTATTATTTTCACTCATTATATATTTCTTGAAATAGACTTGATTTCTAACATTTAAATAAACCGTAAATTTACTTATCAACAACGAAAAAAAAAACCCAAAACAACCTAAACACTATTGACGGCCATGAATTCTCTCTCCCACCCCCCCAACTAATTTATGGTTTGATGCCAAATCGTTTAACTATAAGACAGATACAACATGGAATATATATATATATTAGAAATCAATTATTCGCTGAACCTATTTTAAAACTTTCCCAGTTACTATGACAACATACACAATCAAAAAATAGTCTCTAAGACGGTAACAAAATATGAATATCAATAAAACAAAACTACACACATACATAAATAAACAATAAGGGTTATAATAAGATCTATTGACTAGTATATCCATATATCCATATATAAGTGCATGTTATCTATAAAGAATGGATTCTCTTTTGCTTGTCATAACAACAACAACAACAAAAAATGTAATGCATATCTTAAACTTACATAATCTTCTTGACCGAATACAAGATACTGAAAAAGAGAAAAAAAGAAAAAGAAAAATGTTGAAAAAAAAACTTAAAATGAATTTTCCTTCTTTTTTCTTTTTTTCTCTTTTTGTTTTTTTCTAAGAAAAAAAGTTTTTTTGTTTTAAACAAAAATGTAAAAAAAATTGGCAACTGAATATTAGAAATCGATTCATTTTTTAAAAATAAAAAATTGGCATGTAACGATATTAGATTTCTAAGGAAAGATGAATAGGAGGTTAGCAGTAGAATCAAGGATATGAGTTTTATTCTATTTGGAACTTGTTAGCTAGATATATCTGTATCTTGGAGTTAATATTCACTTTGGGACTCGAACTCAGTATCGTTGGTTTCAAATATTATCCATTTAGCTACTGAGTTCTGATAGCTAATTGCTATCCATCTTTGCTTATCATATTTGTGAATTAAAGTAATATCGAGGCAATTTGCACAGTATGTACATATGCTAATAATAAGAGACTGATCGATTGCAGTACTAAACATGAATGGGAAAATTCAAGTAAACATTATCAAGTGATTAATATCAGATGGGTTTTTTGTGGATATTATAGTAATTTCAATGGTTAAGATCATGATTCAAATGAAGCTAGACCATCATGGAAAACCTGGAGACACTAAACGACCATTTCCCTACTAGTATGGAACTCCTCAGTAGTGCGCATTCACGACCTCGCCCTCTGCGAGACTCGAACCCAGGACCTACTGATCTCGCGTGCGAGCACTTAACCACTAGACCATTGAGCCGGCCGGCATCCAATCATGTTAATGTCTAACTTCAACTAATCCACGAAATTGAGCGACACATCCATCATTGCCATCAGTGAGTTACTATCTCACAACTGATCTTGTTGAACTCCACTGATCACTGCTTCTCACTAGAACTCGAAGAAATACCCCTTGAAGCCAGTCACTAGTGAGCATATGTTGATTAATGTCAATAGTTAAGATCATGAGTCAGTGAGTTATTATAGATTTTATTTTAATTTATATTAGCTAAGATAAGAAACATTCTGAATGAACTCTGATCATTAAATCAAAAAATTGTTGTTCGAAGTACTTCACTTGGATGAAATGATCTTTATTTACATATGAAGTGTCTATAGTAATTAAATATAACTATAGTAGGTTGGAAATATGAACATGTATGTTCTGATCCAGTAATCGAATGATATTGTGTGTATCTTGAAGGTTGGAAGATATCTTATCCAATCATAATTTTGAAATCTTGAATGTATACTCTTGAAGAGTCATGAACTAGAACGAAACAACCATCCTATTTATTATTTTATTCAATAATTCTTCAACTAGTATCAGTTTAGAATAATAATGATCATAAAATGTTACAGACTATTCAGTTTTTCTTGAAAATAAATATTAGAATTGTTATTACTAAAACAAAGAACTCAGCCTGAAGTCTCTCTGAGGATACTACCAGTTCCAGAGGAGGTTTGAACATGGGATTAGCGAATCTATCCTATAAAAAACTAAGTATGTTTATGATATTGTTCTATTATACCTTCAATTGAATCAATTTTCAAGAATGAAACCTTAGTTTGTGATCAGTTTATTGAAAGAAAATTAATTTTTTTTGAAACACCGGATGAAAACTGTTATATCCCAATGAGAATTATGAATGATCACTTTTGAGAACTATTTATGAACCAATATGGTACATATTCATGTTCCTCTTATTATAAGCTTTATTTTGACTCGTAGACTATTATGATACGATTTACCGTTCTTGAGTTATGCCCTGTCTATCAATTGCAGTCCCCCGCATTCACTGCTACTTATGGCTAGAGCTTGTACAAATGTTATTTCTTATTTTATGGTTTGATGTGGTCTGTTTAGTTTGTATATAACCTCAGTATGTTTGAAATACATGATTCATATCACTGAGACTGATATTGGTGTTTCTGGACTCAGCAGGTAGGGCTAGGCAGGATGAAGGACCGATAAAGACTTTAGACTGCTCATATGGGTTTTAAACATCATTAGTCCGGTCAATAAGTCGATGTTCTCTAACTGGTGGTATCATTACCTTAAATATATTAATAGAGTTACAAGGCCATAAGTTATAACAAAAGCAACAAAAGAAATCTAAATATCATTTATCAATTTGATCTTGTTTCAAATCATTCGTTTAAAGTATGACAGATCTGCTATGTTTGAAGCGATGACGAGTTCACCTAGTCTACGAACGGAACAAAGACTCTGTGATCAAAGACCAATAAGCTAGCTATACTGATACATCCCAGCCCTGCTAACTAGAAAGTGAAGTTGAAGTTGGAAACGGGGAAATATATTCCACAAGCAGCTAAAAGCACGAGCATTCACAACAAATCTAGTCGGAAATGCACTCATATATATATATTGGTTTGTACCCCCCCCCCATTTTTGATTAACAATCTGAATAAAGCACATAGATTTTAATATTTACTAAATCATGTTTATACTACTCATAAGTACTTTAGTTAATATAGACAAATTTTTAAGTAGTATCAGCATAATTTCTGAAAAGACGAATGAACATTGTTCATATTATCCTCAAAGTATTATTACTTAAATATTCATATAAATATGCTATTGTACAGCTTGGAGTGAGATCCCTTCGCTGAACTTCATGTTTTGAGAGAAAGCAGAAGAACCTGGCTAATATATTTGAAAAGACTAATCTATCAACAGAGAATATTCTTTACGATAAATTCTCTTCAGGTTCTACAATTATATATATATATGTGCTCGCGAACACCTCCCAGCACAACTAAGCAAAAGTCTGGTGAAAAAAGTGAATAGCTCGACATTGACTCATTTAGTGTAAATTGGTCATATTGCTAGTATAAACCAATCCTTTTCAATTATTCATCGGGTCAGTAATATTTTGCCATAGCTTGTCAGACTTAAAGTCTTTCAAGTGGCTGAAACAGTAGCCATCTGGATGAAGAAACCGGAGCTATATGGATCAAAGAAATATCTTCAGTCGTTTCTCCTCCCCTGACCAACCTCGAGGCCATTTGATCAACAGTAATCTTAACTATTGAATAACCTAATTTGACTATTGTACTTACTACATTTCGTAGTCAAATGTACTTGTCTTTGTTCGTCTTTATTCACAAATCTATGTATTATTATTATCATTATTGTTATTACTATTGGTCAAACATCATTATTAATCTCCCCAATACCCCATCTCGTAGAAGACAACCTTGCTTAAAGCAATTAAATTCTACCCTCCTAGGTGAATGATTTCCATTCAGAACAACTATGACACTTCAGGATGAAAGCCGAGATTCTTCGAAAATCACAAGTCCTATGCCCCTTTCTAACAATCAAAGCAACTATTTTTATAGGTACATGGAACATCCACGTGATGTAGGAGACCAAGAGGACCAACCAAACAACTGAGGTAACAGAATGTTTGTTTTATCCTATTTAAGATTTATTCGTTAAATCATAGTTATTTGTAATATATTGTGTAATCCATGCATCCTTTTCATATGCCGTTCTTCACATAACAACAGTGACGTGGAATCTGAATCATATACCTGTCTTTCCAGAAAAATTCGGTAGTATTCAATAACAAAAACAACAATTAAAAAAGGCCTTAAAAACACTAGATGGATGCTACTTATATCTATAACCAAACTAACCGATTATATTTTACTTTGAACTTCTTTGAATCATCATCAGTGTATGGTACTGGAACAATTGAACTTCAATCTAAGATGTAGGTTTGTGTCCCTAGTTACTGTTTAACTTATCTCTCAATGAGTAATTATGAGATTCGTCTACTGAAGTTGGAAGATTTTTGTAGAGAACAGGTGAATGAAATGTTTTCGAAGAGTTGGGTAAATGTAGGGAAACCAACTAGTGAGTAATATTTAGGTTTAATGAAAGTACTAAAGATAAATCGCATCCACAATTAAAGGGAACAAGTTTTTTCTACGTTTTTGATTAAGATCATGAACCAATTGATGTTAGACCACTATTTAAAACCTGAAAGCACTGGAAGACCATTTCGTTCTATTGTGGGACTCCTCAGCGGTGCGCATCCACGATCCCTGCCGTGGGATTCAAACCCAGTGCCTTCACTTATCACTGCAACTCAGTTTAACTTTGATGTGGCCTGTATGTATTATACTGTTAATTGGCAAAAATATTACTCTTCTTAGGAATATGATTGTCACATACATTTTGGATTATAGTACCGTCTATGTGTTATATTTTCCATATTTGACTAAATATCATCATAAGCACCGGAATATTTTTATATTATTTTGTTTAACTACTAAGTCGAATTCAGTAGAACAAAATGTTTTGGAAAAACGTTTGATCGTGAGCAAAATTTTTGTTTGGTTCTAAATATTTGAATGGGAACTTGATGAAGATTTGACATCTTATTCCATTTTAAATAAAAACTGGAGAAAAACATAAGTAGAGCTTTCTTAAATCAGCTAATATCCAGGTTGGGTAACTGATTCCATTAGTAACAAACTACAACTGATATTTAACAGATTGAAATCATGAGTCAGTTGAAGCTAGACCACCATTGAAAACCTGGAAGCACTGGATGGCCATTTCGTCCTAGCGTGGGATTCAGCGGTGCACACCCACGATCCCTCACCACGCGACACTCGAACCCAGGACCTACTGACTTCGCGCGTGAGCACTTAACCACTGGATCACTGAGTCAGCCTGCACCCAACGGTGTTAATGTCTAACTTCAACCAATCCACGAAGTTGCGCCACCGTACACCATTGTCTTCAGTGAGTTGATGTCTCACAACAGACCTGGTTGAACTCAACTAGGAACCCACTGAAGACAATGGTGTACGGTGGCGCAACTTCGTGGATTCCAGGTTTTCAATGGTGGTCTAGCTTCAACTGACTCATGATTTCAATCTGTTAAATTTCTAAAATCTCCACAAAACCCATTCTGATACAACTGATATGTTATTGATTATGATCAAATGTGTGATTCCTACATGATACATGAGAAAATGACTATTTTTAAAATTAACTTTTTAATAGATGATTATGAAAACTAACTAGAGAAATGATAGAGAATTGTTTAGCTAATTCATTTACATTTAAGATTTTAAAACACATTACATCATATCTATCATCCCTGACGAATCCAAGAAAAAAAAGCGAAATTATCTGTGATTGGTGAATATTTACTATGACCTTCGAGTTATATCTCCAATTGAGAATGTTGCAACATCCGTTTTATCGAATTTTATCAATGATCAGTAACAATATGTAATTAATTTCAATGATTTATGTGGGGAGGGAGGAGCAAGAAGGTGGTCTCTGAAAGTTTAAATCTCATGAGAGTATTAGTTCTTTCATGAATTCTGATATACCTTGTTGACAAATGCGATTTAACACGAAATACGTGTAAAATCGATGTTAGTAAGTTTGATCATTTCAATGAATGTCATTTAATGTAATACATTGGTTGACTGATCTTCTCTAAAAGCTATAATTCACGAGTATTATAAACAAAGATGAATAGTGGTTAGCAGTGAAATCCAGGATGCGCGTTTCATCCTATTTGGGATTCGTCAACTGGATTTACCTACATCTCAGAGTTGATGTTCACTCCGGGATGAAACGCCCATCCTAGATTCCACTGCTAATCATAATCTATCTTTATTTAAAATATCTTTGTTTGTGTCAAATATGGTTGGTGATAAATCCATAGATGAGGATTATCCATTGTAACTAACATCCAATAAACTTACATTTTAAGCAAAATTACGTTTCTATTGACCAGCTAGAAATCTCAAACAATTAAGATCTTTGATAAATTTTGATAATGTTATGAGAATATGAAGTTAATCAGAATTATTGAAGCCTTGGTTATACGGAAATGGAAACCCCATTTTATGCGTTCAAAAACAATGTGTCCTTACCCTTAACCTAACTTGGTGGTTGCTCCGAATGGAGCTCCTCTAAAGCTACTGCTGGTCTCGAACCCGGATAAAGGAGGAGGGCTAGACATAGGGTTAGGGATCCCATCTTGTCAGAAATTAACTCGCTACCCAGAAAAAAATAATTCAAACTATTTAAACTTTACCCTGAGAGTTAGAAAATCTTCATTGAGAAGAGTTATGACATCTCATAGTGAAAACTGAATTCCTTCAAAAGTCATGAAATTGATTCACTTTCTGACAACCAGGGCAACCATTAATTTAGGTACATGAAATGCTCTTACAATGTGAAATGAAAAGATACAACCTGGATGTGATTGAATTCAATGAAACACATTGGATACAAGTTTAAACAATAACCACCACCACACCAACAACAGCAACAGTAACAAACAGCTTCAAGGGAACTTCTATTCTACTTCATTTTACACTGAAATGCTCTCACATGGCCACGCGTATACAGCCTCTGCCAGGGAAGTCCTACTCACTGCCTTCTCGTGGCATTACTGTTGTTTACGAAATTGAGAGGACGAAAAGCGAATGTCCGGCACTTTAACCGGATCCCAAACCAGTAGTGCACATGGGCTCCAGTATCCTGAAGGAACAAATGGCGTATGAACCAATTATTGTTCACCGGCTTCCATGGGACTGCATCTCCTCATGATGCTCCACTGCCTTGTGGGTCAGACCTTCAGGTCGAAGGCTCCGGGTGTGGCCCCCTAAGAAAACCACCTACTTCGGTCTGGGCACCCGGGCAGTATTACAACCCACACACACACACACAAATATGGTGTGGCGCATATATATTCGGTGCCCTCTTGTACCAATATTTATGTGTTTAAATAATAATACACTGAATAGTAAAGATATCAATGTAAACAGGATCATCATAGAAACTTACCGATGTACATAAAGCAAATAAAGTTAAATATAAACGCATTTTTCCCAATGATCTTAAAATGATAATCGTTTAACTATGGAATATAATAAGAGTAAAATGAACAAGATTCCAATGGTGTTGATAATCAGAATGTATAATTCCCTCTTTTTTTGTATCTTGTCTAATATGTGCATTTTCCCTAATTACACTAATATAATCATCACTGATTGGTTAATAGATTTCTTTCCCTATCCCCTAATTTGTTAATGTGATTTATTGATCGATCGTTTTATGATTAAATGAAACAATTTGTAGGATAAACAATGAAGGATTAATTTTTGGACAAATATTTAACAGATAAATACCATCATCATTGTTACTGTCATCCTTATCACTAAACAAACATTATGATATTTCCATTAATCAGTCAGTCAGTCAGCTACAATGTAGGACCAGGCACATATATGCATCGGTCCAAGTTGCCATACCTCATTAACACAACAAGATGAACATCAGATTTATAGAAGTAGTCGATTCAATGGTAGTAGTGATATATAAAAGAAAGATTGCATATAAGGATATAGTACAGGAAGAAGGAATGACTAGTATAGGGGTTGTGGAGATGATTAGGTTTTTGATTAAGATCATGAAGATCAGGTTTCTAAAGGTGATCTAATATCAATCGGTTCATGGTCTCAATCAATAACTTAATAATCTCCACAACCCCATACTGATAATTACCATGTGTTCACTAGTGGCTAGCTTCGTGAGGAAATTCTCAGAGTTCTAGTGAGAAGACGTGACCAGCTAATCCGTGTCGGGTAGAGACAGGTATCTACGTCAGTACAATGGAAGATGGTCGCACAATTACGTGAATTGGTTGAGGTTAGACACTATCACCATTGGATACTGGCCAGCTCAGTGGTCTAATAGATTGAGCATTCGCATGCGAGATTGAAGGCCCTGGGTTCGAACCCTGTCAGGCGGGATCGTAAATGTGCGCTGTTGAGGAGTCCCACAATAGGACGAAACGGCCGTCTAGTGCTTCCAGGTTTTCAATGGTGGTCTAACATCAATCGGTTCATGATCTCAATCAAGAAATAATTAGTTCGTGCAAAGAAAGATATGAAGCGATTTAAGGAAGACAGAGGGTGTATACACCGACGCCATTGTGATCGATCGATTCTCAGCCATATCACTCATAGTCTCCAACCATTGGTTACGATAGTCACGCATACCCTAACCAACATTTTCACTAATACATATATAACATTGCAACTTATCTACAAGATGATCTGTTTATAAGATGAAATGAATTATGTATTCGAACAGTTAGATTTTAATGGATTATTATGATGAATCACTATGAATGGGATAAGAAATAGGATAAATATGTTCATCTAGAAATAAGTACCATGTTTATTATGGGAAATAGGTGAGACTATAATTTATGAACCTAACCAATTAGAGTTAATATAAGATGTCTTGAATTTTGGCATGAAATTCACTCAATTATTTTGTAACAGTAGCAAAAATTATTACATGTGATGTTACTAACACGAGTTTGTTTTTGGTGGAGATTTGTTTTCTGAGCTGGATAGTTTGGTCGTAGAGCTTTCATCGTTCTTCTGAACGACATTATCAGCACAAACTTCAGATAGAAGTGAAGTGTTCGAATTTCTCCACCTGACCTACAAATCTTCTCCATCATCTCACGAGTCTGTTTTTCTTATTGCAAGACAACAAAAAGTAAACGCACTGGAAGAAGAAGAAGAAGCTCTACGAAAGCTGAACCTGCAGAACGATAGATTAAACTATTTTGAAATAAGTTTTCTTATTTTGTAATTTTTTTATTTATTTTATTTTTACACATAGATATTGGTACAAGAAGGCACCAAATACATATGCGTCACACAAATCTCGTTCGATATGTATGAGTGCTGTGATACTGACCGGGTGCCCAAACCGAAGTAGGTGGTTTTCATAGGGGGCCACACCCCGAGCCTTTCACCTAAAAGTCTGATCCACAAGGCAGTGGAGCATCGTATGGAGATGCATTCCCATGGAAGCCGGTGACCAACAATCGGTTCATACGCCATTTGTTCCCACAGGATACTGGAGGCCATGTGCACGATTGGTTTGGGATCCGGTTAAAGCGCCGGACATTCGCTTTTCATCCTCTCAATTTCGTAAACAACAGTAATGCCACGAGAAGGCAGTGAGTAGGACTTCCCTGGTAGAGGCTGTATACGCGCGGCCATGTGAGAGCATTTCGAGAAGGAGAGCGGACTCCCCTCACTCTCGACCATACCAGGGCATTTTGAGGCCCATTTTGTAATACGATTGCGTCTTTCAATTTTAAAATATACCTCTGTTGTGCCAGTACGTCGCGTTCTCACTTCAGAGGCAGTTACCAGTTCTGACTGTTCTGTTGTTGTTTCAGATCACTCCTACTTCCGAATAAACACTGATACAAAGTGCTACAATTTGGTTAAATAGTATCTTGGCATTTTAATCTATGTCCATTTGTGATGAAAACCCGTAAATCTAAATCCTAACCTTGACTATCAATTGTAAATCATTGTGTTTATTCTTCAAACTGTTTTATAATATTCATTTAGCCTTAATAAGTAGGTAGATACTCTTAAGGTCACTTTGGTATCATTCAAATGTCGACCATAAATTATAGTCTCATCCAGAAATATCAGCTCTGAATATTATAAGAATAGGCCGCTCACCATCACTCTCTATCCAACCCTGTCTCAAGCAATCCTTTTCAGTTGTTATTCAACCTTATTATATCATCTTCTGTTTCTTGACGTTATGTGTTCTTTGGCTTCCCACTTTTCCACTTTCCCTATAAGATTCCAAGTTAGCACTTGTTTCGTGATACAGTTTAATGATTTCCTTAATTTATGTCCTATCCACTTCCAACGTTTTTTTCCTAATTTTCTCTTCACCTGAAAGCTGGTTTGTTTCTCTACCATAGAAGACTGTTGCTGATGGTATCCGGCTAATGGATGTTGAGTATCTTGTGTTGACAACTATTTATAAATACTTATACCTTCATGATTATGGTTGTAGTAGTTCTCCACGTTTGACCTCCATACAGTTGGACAGTTTTGACATTCGTAATAAAGATTTTGACTTCGGTATTGGTTGATATACAGTTGTTTTGATTTTTATATGTTCTCTAATTGTAAGAATGCGGCCCTTGCTTTGCCAATTCTCGTCTTTATGTCTGCATCTGATCGTGAATGTGCACTGCTGAGGAGTCCCACAATAGGACAAAACGGCCATCCAATGCTTCCAGGTTTTCAATGATGGTCCAACATCAATCGGTTCATGATCTCAATCAAAAACTTAACAATCTCCACAACCCCTAAACTGTTTTATTTGTTTATTCTTTAGAATCATAAAGGAGATTAGTGAAACTTTATTGATAAAAAATTTTTTGTCAAAACTTCTCTTCTTGAGATTATATACCGTAGGATATTTTCTTCGTCTTATGCAATTGGTAATCTGTTATATCTAAAGCTTAGATGCTTACTATGCCGCGTACAACTTGATCACTCAATGTTAGAATACTCCCAAATCGCAAATGAGAAGACAGAAAACAAGTGAAAGGAATGTTATTTCAAATAGTGTTAATTATAAGCAAAGATGGATAGTGGCTAGCAGTGGAATCCAGGACGCGCGTTTCGTCCTGTTTGGGACTCGTCAGCTGGACGTACCTGCATCTCAGAGCTGATGTTCCAGAGTGAACATTATCTCTGAGATGCAGGTACGTCCAGCTGACGAGTCCCAAACAGGACGAAACGCGCGTCCTGGATTCCACTGCTAGCCACTATCCATCTTTGCTTATAATGCTTGTAAATTAAGGCAATATCGAGGCATACGCGCAGTATGCACATATGCCAATAAGAGACTGATCAATTTCAGCCCTAAAGAAAACATCAATGGGAAGATTCAAGTAAAACAATATCAAGTGAGTGTCAATTATGGTACAAAACTGTCACATATTTATAGTTTTTTTTTATAGTAAAAACGAAATCATCATTATAGTCCTCCAATCCGCATACAGGAGGTTATCAGCATTTGTCCAATAGAAGAGTTCCATGTAAGGATTCTAGAATATTCTTTCAAAAGATGATTGGATTGAATATTTTCGGCCTTTTCTGAGCTTCTCAAAGCTTCCTCGAGTTCATCCGTGAACTATCCTCACATTATACAAATCAACTTCTTTGTTAGATTATCTTCTCCCTCTCTTAAGAACAATCAGTTTACTACGACTTGTTATAACTGATACGTTGGGCACTCAACTGTATCCACGACAAAAAATAGTCATATCCGAATTTTATAGAACAGTCTTATGATTATTAGTACTCCCTTCACAGTTCGTAATTTGACATCTGTACGACTATAATAATCATGGAGAAATATCTATCCAAAAATTACCTATATGGCAATTTAAGCATCTGGACATTTGAACCTTACACCCGTAAATAGATTGAACATTCACTTTTGTTTTGTCTGCCACAAATAAATGTAGAAACAGAATTTTGTTATTAGATCATAAATGAAAATAACGATATAGGCTTCAGTTTGGTAAATCTATATTATGCTATCAAATCAACCAGAATGAATAAAATGAGTTTTAGCAGAGACGAATAGTGAGTTGTAGGGAGATTGAAGACGTGTGTTTCGGCCTATTTCAGACTTATCAAATAGATGTATCTACATCTCAGAGTGAATATTCATTTTGAGAGTAAAACAGTGCCATTCAATCGTGCGCTTCAATCGTTATCCACTTAGTCATTGAATCCATGTAATTAATGGCTTGTGTATTGAGTGGATTCCACTTCATATATATTGATTGTTTGGATATTCTAATCGATGCTTAAGACTGTAATCGCACAATCCGTTGACTGTCTTGAATTATTAGTTAATGAGAGTTTTTTTACAGATGATGATATCAAGTTCAAGTCCCGAAGTAAACATCAACTCAGATGCAGGTACAACCAACTAGCCACTATCCATCTTTTCCCAAAATGTTTCTACCTTAATGGCGGCATCGAAGTAATCAGCACAGGTCCATATACATTGACTAATAGCAGTCTTAAACGTCAACGGGGATATGAAAGAGTTTTGTTCTCTGAGCTAGATGGTTTAGTCATGGAGCTTTCATCATTA